GTATTTAGCTTACGAATTCAAATTATTTAGTATAGTATTTTATTGAATATCATATAGACAGCATATTATACAATAAATTATGTAGAAGAATTATAGACTTCTTATAGACACATAGTATAGATAATAATAATTAAAAATAAATATTAAATAAATATACAAAGTGTGTTTTATTATTTGTTGGTATAAAAATTGCCCAATAGTATTATTTATTAATAACGCCGATTAGTAATTACCTAACGTTTATTGAGTTCGTTACAACTCAACTAAGTAGCCGAGTAGGTACAAAACATAATTACATTAACTTTATAAATCTATCAAAATCAAAAGTCTCTTTAAAGTAGGTTATAATATCTTATAATATAACTCCATCCAGGTATACAGAGCGTTATTTGAAACTTTACTAATTTAAATTTCGAAATAATGGAACTTCCATTACTTTGAGATTTTAAATTAGTAGAAAGAATCACACGAGGTGGGGCACTCTGTAGGTATATTAAATAATTATGCGTGTTGTTATTCACGAATTGTTATAACACTAAAGGTCATACTACATATTCCATATTATATACATCGACATAATAGCACGTATACGGTATACATAAAGATTTAAAAATACATCATAGAGGACAGCCACAGGTGACAGGTACCATACGGCTGTATTCAATACTTTATACTGGAAGTATATAGTATTATAGTATGTATTATTTATTGTACTTACAGGTGTATAAATAATAATAGTAATACATAGTATATTAATGTATTATATTATGTGTGTACAAAATAGTTATATCTAGGTACTCCTAATTTCTAAAATACCTACGTATAAATTAATAGCTTAAACAATAATCCTATATTATTTGTTAATAGTATAGTCTATATAAGTAGGTACCGGCTATTACATTAATATTTAAATAAATAAATAATACAGACACATGCACTCATAGACGTTTGCGTATTAGATCTAATCTTGATAGAAACATTTATCTGCAAAATAATTATTTATTTACAAGTTATAATAATACCTAATTAAGAGTTTGAGAATCATTATAATGAGGTTCGAGCATCACATAACACGTGTGTTATGCATAGGTTATACATGTATGTATATATTTATTATATTATGTGTGTAACCTAAATAATTACAATTACAAACATAAAGGTATTAGGTACATTTCAGTATAATATGTAGGTAAACTAAATATTATATACAGAGTAAATAGGCACAACTAAGTTGGGGTTACGGGTTGCTGTAAAGCGCACCTTCAAATATTTTGTGAGCGTCCTTAAATAATAATACTTGTTTAATTATGTACTTATACAGATATAGACATTAAGTTGTATAAGTGTATTCATTGGTAGTTGGTACAATGCAGTGAATAAAAATTGGCTATAGACTAGCTCACGGCTCGAGAACATATTTCAAATTTCCCTATTACTTGTCAAATATTGAAAAATATTTAATAAATCATTTAAAAACTGAAGTCATGAGAATGACTTTGCTATGGATAGTATTACTTATTGTTAATATTTTATTTAAGTAATTTATTCGTAATTTTTGCATAATTTTAGATTTTTAGCACCCCCACAATTTAAGATCTAGTTGCACCTATGCTATACAGCAAATATTAATAGTTTAAAAAGTAGCTCAGTTAAATTCAATATGAAACCATTATTATTTATTTACAAATATGCATTTGATGAGAAATTTTTAAAAATGTTCAGGTCTATACTATATACTCCGTAATTGTTGACATAGTGTGTATAGCTAGTTATTCTACTTGATCACTAATTTAGATTTTGTAACGCGGGAAGCAAAAATTTACTAAATTAATGTAGGTACTTCATATTATTATGTTTGGTGTATAGTGTATACTATATATAGTACCTATGTAAAATGTTTGTTTTAATTGGTTCAATTTAATAATGTCTGCATTAAGGGGTTAGGGGGATGAGTTTGGCAATCGTTGCCAATTGTGGAATATAGACCTGCTCTCTAGTTTATACATCACAATTTTTTTTGTTTGAATGTATCTAAACTAGTAAATAGGTACTTCAATTTTTATTTATAAATACAATTAGAGGTTCCCAGCTTGCTTTATCTATATCTAGTGATGATAATAAATGTACATGTTTATTGTTTAGTTTTGTTAAGCATGATAAATAAAATTAATTCTAATTTATAATTATTATGGAAAATGAAGTAGTGACAAAGTTATTATGGTAACTTAATGCTAAATAGGTACTAAACAATAAATAGTATCATATTTAAATTTAATATTCTGTAAACAAAAAATTGTATTATGAATTATGACATATTTTATACTCTTTTATAATGGCTTCGCGCAATACGAACCTCACCAACGTTATAATTAAAAAAAAATTTAAATAAATGATCTACGACTTCTTATAGCAGTTATACATCTGGACAGATGTCATATTAATTTTCTAAATGGCTAAATATCAATAAAAATAATCATATAAATAATATACAGACATACAGAGAGTGTACAGGGTGAACACATAGTGCCCTGCGACGGTTCAAATATTTTTCAAACTAAAGGTACCAATCTTTTTAATTGTAAATTGTAAATTATTAAGGAGATGGTTTATATAAAAATGCCGATTTGGATATATCAAAATTCCAACAAGTACATTTTCTTTCATCCTGAGTAATTAAACCTGCCATATTAAGGATAAAAGTCCTTAAAAATGAGCTTAAAAAATTAGAAAATAGAATGATATGTAACACTGTATTTAGTATTTATTATATGCCGACATTTTTACAAAATTATAAAATGTTTTCTTATCTTGTCCGACCCGGTCGGATTGTATTCGCTTTCACGGCAGCTGTCCACGAAACCGTTTTTGATTAGATTTCATACATAGGTATACGATTTCATAGTTTCGATTAGATATACGTCTTCAACACATATATTAATCGCACATCGTAGACACGCATCTTGACCTCTGTAGACAAACAAATTCAAACCGACCACTCACGTCTCACACCCATCACAGCGCGAGATGTACCTATACTTAATTATGATAAATTCGCTGTGCATGCCGGACTAGATAGATCAATTTAAATTTGTGTTCGGCCACATATTATAAGAGCCGAGAGAAACCTGGAAACATAAATCATAATAATACATCTCTATAGCGATATTACATTACCTATAGATTGGAAATATTAAGGTACGACTAATATTGGTAAGGTCGTCGTTTTTTGCACGTCGTAATGGTAAAATGGTTTATCATTCGACACTTTGTATATACTCACATTTAATTCTTATGATTGTACCTATGTATAGTTTTAAAACAACTTTAGAGTTTGAAAAGAAATGCAGATTTGTTTCCCCTTTATTGGTACCTAATACGAAATATTTCTGTCCACTGACTCCGGATTGAAAAGGGATTTTCGGGAAAACCTATATGGAATACTGAAATACCTTCAAATTTTTTGCCGATTTTCAAATTGTTAGCACTTTCATCGTGTGCTTGCGCAATTCAACTAGTATTTTTTTAAAATGACAACACGATATATTTGGTTGCACCTAATTTTTTGACCAACTTTGACCTTCAACTATGGTTCTAAAACCAAAATTGACTAAACTACGAGTTGGAAAATCGTAAGGTGATCATTGAAAATAGCCAAAAATAAGTATTTCAGTATTCCCAAGAACCCGCCGAAAACGACAAAAACCCGAGGTCGCATTTTACAGAAATATTTTGTGTAACCTTTAGAAGGAAACACATAGTGTACAAGGTGATATTTGATTAGGCTCCGGGCATACACTATGCAATATAACAATGTACAACTACTTATTTTAATGGTACCTCGGCTACCTAGGATAAGTATATAGTTAGACATAATAAATTAAATCTAAAACCGAATGGCAGACGGCAGTATGTGCCCAAAGCATAACTATAGGCATCACGTGGTTTATCGTCCAACCGGGCGTTTTTAGCTTATGGTTATTTTTTTATTTTTAATTGTATGTTGAGTTTGTAGCTGTGGGACCAAAAAAAAACTAGAACGAGCTCGTCGAAAAATGGAGTATGGACAGCAGTTAATAAAATATAGCGGCGGCTTGTACGACCCTTCAAGAGCGCATAGTTTCACTTTGGTCGTGGTTACTGTGTTACTGGCAACACTGGACCGGTACGTCATTCGTCACTCGGCACGTCTGGTTATCACTTATCAACATTCAGCATTCAGCAATCAGTAGACGATAAGCATTAAGCAGTTGTAGTTGTTATAGGTTGTTGTAGGAGGCACGTGATGTCACGAATCACGATAACGAGAGTACGACTTACTATAACTCAGTACAATACTTTTACGTCCCTACGGTACAAAAAAAATTTCGACTCGCGATAGAGTTCAAAAACAACAAATAATTACATCAACGACAATAAAGACGACAAGTAAAGACAACTGTGACGTGCACGGTACACTGCCACGTAGTCACTATGGCAATAATTTTTTTTCTCGAAAACACAGTCTATTAGTCCTATGACCTAAAGCCACTCGACTCGACTACTGTTTTATGCACATTGCATAGATCGTGGGAAATCGTTGATACGCCATAACGTGATGTACGGGTGAATCTGGGAAATCGTTGGGTATGGTTTTCGCGAGAATAAAAAAACGCGTTCCACCACCTCCGGGACACAACCCATGGACTATGGAGTAATACTACTCTAACCAAGCCCCCCCGACGAACGGGTAACGCACCGACGCGATAGGCTGAGTGGTTGTAAACGAGATTGGAATAAAAAAAATTGTTCAAAAATCGAAATCGACCGACGCGTCCCGAACGCGCTCAAAGTGCGCCACAACCGGTTTCCATTCAACAGCAATTATTATTATAAAAAGTCCGAGCCCTCCCGCTCCGGCCCGTCCGCTAGGTAGGTATGGTCTACGGTAGTGCCGCGCGGAGGCAGGGGAAGGGTGACCGAAACTTTTACCGCCGCCGCCGCCCGCTGTCAGTGGCCAGTGCTCGCTGTTCAGTGCTCTCGCGATTGCCGTACGTTTGCGTTCGTAGTGTGTCGCGCTCGCGCGCGAGTCCCGCCGACGAAATCGTTCTCGCCAGATAACCCCAACACGCATAGTGTTTCGGGCGATATTAGTATTTTTTTTATATACAATTATAATATTAATAATATAATCGTCGTTATCGTTTTATTGTTATAGACCGCAATAATTAATTAACAACATCTCTCATTACTGTTTGCCGCCAACCGATCGCGTCGCGTATTGTTTGCCACCGCGTTTCGCGACGCGTATTCTCGATTCTCGTGAAAGTTTGTCCCGTAGTCGCGGTCGTCGGCCGACGACGGCCCCCGAACTGAGTAGTGGCGCATCGTGCACGGCCCGCTGTCGCGCGCCCGCCGCCGTCGCAATGGAAAACAAAAAACCCAAAGAGAAGCGAAGGTAAAAAAAAACACGAAAACCGTGAGAAAACAATACAATTTATCGCATGTCTGGGTAGCTGACGAATAGTAAAATGTAAAACAAAATACTATCGTAACGCAACGGCCGTCGGTGGCCCGAGGGCTCGCGTGTGCGACCAACGAGGTCACGGCCCGGCGATCGTGTAATGGGTATCTCATAATATTATTAATATTATCGACGTATCGTTTCGTCGCGTACATTATTGAGCAATGTCGTCCTCCTCTCACTGTGCGTTCGTTTCCGATGGTAGCTCGCCGCTCTCGGTCCGTGAAATGATTTTGGATCTATAGATAGATGTTATGCGTATACATATATATTATGAACTAAGATATCCAAGTGTATATTATAATATACATTTTGTATTCGTATGAGAACGCGCTGCTCGCTCGGTGTCAACCACCCACAGCCATTCCCCGCCCGTTTCGGTGAACAAATGTTGTCATAGTGTACGAAGTCGACGTTGTTGTTGTTGTTATTGTTATTGTTATTGTTATTATCATAAAAATTGAAGATGATAACGCGTTACAACTATCTCGAGATTACTTTAATCTCTGGATTTCCGAATATTTACAGTTTTTAAATGCAGTCCCTTATAATTATTGTTGTATTATGAACTCCATTTTTAGCGTTGAGCCGCGTGTAGAAGTTAAATACTCCAACTCGTCGAAACCCGTTTGTTGTTGGTGATCTCCAATAGGCTTACATTTTAGGATTCCTTTGTTACAAACAACAGTATGGTACTATAGTTAGTCGTTTCTGTATTTCTGTAACTATAAAAACCATTTTGGAACTTTATTCGTATACAGCCTGGCTTAGAAAATATCATAGTGTGACAGTTAGCCTTTTTTTATACAACATGTTCTGTAGGTAAGTTATAATATAATAGATCCATTCAATCCATTGAACAAATATATAGGTAGTTGGTCTTTGTCTGAATGGTGATTTCTATTGTCTGTATAAATAATGATAAGGAATAATGTACTGTTGACAAGTATGTATTCTATAATAGTATTAGTATAGTTGGAGCCAATCAAATTGCATATCAAAACTAGTTTGAAAACTACTCTGAAGTACTTTGAAAAATAAGAAACTTGTAGATAAAACAATAATTTATTAAACATCATACCTATTGGTTACTTCAATGTGTTTAACCAACCAACCTATTGTGTTATATTAAGAACATTATGCTTAAGTGAATTTTAATTGTATAGAGAATTATATCACCTATAGATTAAAATGTGAGAATATTATTTGCTTATTTGCAACATAATTCTCATTTAACCGAGCATTTAACTATTTGTCTTATTCTATTTTTGTCTAATCAACCAAATACATTTGCCTGGAGGTAGATAAGTATATAAAATATAATTACTGACTAAAAACAATTTAAATGAGTCAATACCATTGAATATGATAATTAATAAAATAATTAGGCTAATAGGTGTGGTGGTTTGAGAGTTGGATAATGTTGTACATTGTACAACATACCTATTATGTATCTATTGCCTATATTGGGTATTTAGATATGTTTTTACTTTGATCATAAGGATAAGGGATAGAGAGCCTCATTATTCCCTGGAGTTAACATAAAATCATGAGTATGCTTCAATGCTTATTGAATGTATTAAACTTGTAACTACAAATTATAAAGTGTAGTACTTAGTGGCCGTTCTGGATAATCCAGAGTTCTGCAAATAACCCAAACATGTTTAGTACCTACAAAATCAAATATCAATTAATTATTTTATTTGCGTAAATCCATATTCTATATAAATCTTCTGTCCATGTTGCCCGGGATAAGCAGTGACTACCTCGGTGACTACTGTATTAATAATAATAAAAAAATATAATAAAGAGGCCCAGATAGAAGTTATTACTCTAATAAATTAAGAAATGTATTTTGCTATATTTTTATTAATTCAATCCTAATATTATACCTAGGTAGTAAACATTTAAATAATATTCAAGTAGGTAGGCATATGGATATATAACATTAACATCTTGATTAACATTACATTATGAACATAAATATAGACGGTATATATTTAATTCTATTAGGTATTCATGTTTTTTAACATGCACAATTTAGGCATTTATTTTAATATTAAATTTTTAAGAGACATGACATTTTATTTATTCCATTGATAAAATCAGAAAATTAGCTACCTATTTCAAAATAAGATAATTAAATTGTTGTTTGTCAGAATTTAGTTAGTGGCATGTCTTATTAAAATATTTTGTATTAATCTTTGATGTGTTTTGATCTTATACTATCTATATCTTAGACTTATACTTTTGTTTTGTACTTTAAGTTAATCAACTTATTCTTACTACTTACTTAGTTATTTTATATTTGTGATTTAGGTATTACTATTTATTATTATTACTATCATTTAAAGTTATATTTTTTTATACCATTGCGCTATGTACTCCTTTTACCATTGTAAACAATTATTTGTCAATGGTTTACTGTACCTATATAGGATGTAGGTACCTGCATAATAGGTGAATAAACATAGCTCATGTTTAGTGTCCTAAAATGTATTCAAATAAAATAAATATGAACATTTCTTTAGCCTTAGATACATAAACTTTTGATCTTTTGTCAATTTATTATTATTGACATAAAGTTATATTCAAGTAAACTAATGTTAAACATAGTTGGCACAGTGTTTGTTATTTGAATGGATCATTTTTATTACACTGTTTTTTTCCATAATAAATCATCTTTTATATCAGTTATATTATTTAGTATCATTATGATACTTTACATTTCTAAAAATTAGTATATTTCTACTTTAACGGGCATCCTAAATTTTAGAATTTTTTTTCATATTTTCATATTTTGTGATACCTAGTACACTTGAATGATCTTCAATGATAGGTATACGTTCGTGCGGCTTAATACATAGGTACCTATATCAAATATGTTTAGATTCTTGATATAGGTATGACCCAACTATGCTTTGTACCTATATTCAAGTAGGTACCTAGTGTTTGTTTGACCCGGATTATATTTTCCCCTTTAACGGCTTTAGCTATACATACTGATTTTAGATAGGCTCAATAAGTATGTCATTACCTAATGTTATATTATATAATTCATTCAGTTCAGGTTAGTTGACAGAAATATCAAATTATGTCACTTGGTTAGGCTATAGAACAATATTGAAATGCAAGTAAAAATGACACTTTATCATCTGATCAGGTTTTTGATTATCTGTGACTTGAAGTCTGAACCTCTGAAATACACGGATTTGGTTTGAAAATTTCTCATTAGTTATTGTAAAGTAAAGAAACTTAAAATATCATGTAATCGAATGTAAATAATTTAAGCCAACTTAAACTTATTTTAGCTGTAGCACTACTGATAGGCAGTGTATGTAACATTTTATACAGAGTGGATAAATAAAAACATATTTCTTTGGATCAAGACTTTCAGATTGTTTTACAGTGTTAGAAAAATCTGCTGATTTATTTAAATTATCATCTACCTACACCAGTTTCATAAAAGAAATGTGACATAAAATGTTATCAGTGCAGAATACAGATATTTCTCACATATTAGAATATGATTTACTAAACTTTTACTGAAACAGTGTATAGACAAATATAAATTGAAAAAGTATAAATTTTGTATTTATATAGCATTCATTTTTAAGTAAATCCTGGAATCCAAGTGTCCAACTCCCTAAGGTCTGAAAAAGGTCCAAATTTGTCAGCAAATATTAACTGTAGGTCAGCTGACCTATTGGAGAACACCCTCCTAGATCCAACCCTGCACATATTCCCCAATAAATCAAACTAAATATTAGGGGCCTTTTGTTTATCACACTATTGTAGATGAATAGGTATATTAATAGGCATATTTTTGTATAATAACCAAATAATAACTTAATTATAGTATGTATATTTCGTGATTGACCAGCTTAATGATTATGTAAACAAATTACAAAAACAATATTAATACCCACATCATAGATAGGTACATTGTTTGTTGACAGAAATGTTTCATCTTATAGTATTTCATTACCACTGAGCCCCATACTCCCACATAGACTGTCAGGTCCATAATTGGAATTTTCTTTTTAGACCTTAGTAAATATACTTTCATTGCTTATCATATTATATCTCTTGCGACAAAAAAAATGGGGGGAGGAATTTGACACAGTCAACCTAGTAATAACAAAAAATTCAATCTTTACGACATGGATTCCAGGACCCCCCAGCTCAGAATTTCATGATAAACTCTTTAGATAATTTATTATATACTTACCTAGTACCTACCCACCTAATTATAACTATCTATTCATATATATTATTGAATTTATGAATATTGAATGGCACTCTCTGTACCAACCTATACATTTTTGAAGCCAACTATATAAATTTAATGTTAGGTAACTTTGGGTAACTTAGTAACTTATCTTCAAACTTTTTAATTGTTAAAATGAGACATTTTATGCCTTATGGGTTACAATTAACTTGAAAATGCATTTGTAATTGGTGAAATTAATAGTTAAGTTACTTATTGTGTTTTAAAATTAAAAGGTAATTAAAAACTATTTCCTGAAAAATATTGTTTCGTGATGATTAGAAGAGATTGTATTTAATTTTTACAATGTTAATATTATAAGTGCGTGCAACATTCATTTTTCATTTTTTACCATGTAATATAAATAAGGGACTAAGCACATGTGTCATTTATTAAGTTTTCTCTGTTTTAAAGATTATTTACATACTAAGGTACATTTAATAACTGAATCTTTGGAAATTACCTAATGTAAGTACCTACCTTACTTTGTTTTCAGTTTTTACAACATTAAATCAAAATATATTATCAGCAACTTATAGCCAAGTAGATAAATACGTTATCTTTTGGTATATTGCAGCAGCATACCAGTATATTACAAAATAATTTAGAAGAAGTAGATATTTACGAGTTGCTGTATGCTGATAGCCGGTAGAGTTGGTATCAT